TATGTGGTCAGTTTTTGAAACAGTTCCATAGAGTGCTGAGTAGAAAGTGTATTATTTGCCAGTGTGGTGGCGCATGCCTTTAGTCCCAGCAGGGAGGCATAGGCAAGTGGATCCTCTGTGAGTTCGAGGCCAGTCTGGTCTACTGAGTGAGTTCCAGACACCTGGAACTAGGGAGATCCTGTCTCAAAAAGACCGCCCCCCCCCAAAAAAAAAGTTGTATTATTCTTTTGTGCTTGGGTGGGATATTCAAGAGATGTCTGTTAGGTCCATTTGATGTATGGTATCATTTAATTCAGATGTCTCTCTGTTTATTCTTTGTCCAGGTCTATTTTGTCAGATATTAGAATCGCAAGCACTGCTTGTTTCTTAGTATCATTTGCTTGGAGTATTCTTTTCCATCCTTTTACCTTAAGGTAGTGCCTGTCCTTGAAGTTGAGATGGGTTTCTTGCAGACAGCAAAGAGATGGATTTTGTTTCTTCATCCAATCACTTAGCCTGTCTGTTTTGACCAGGGAGTTCAGTCCATTGATATTTAAGGTTATTATTGAAAGATGTGTATTGGTTGCAGTCATTTTGATTGCTGTTTGTTTTCTCTGTTAAATTTGTGTTTTTCTATTATACCTTTATTTATTTTCTCTTGTTGCCCCTGGGGTGTAGTTGTTTCTCTCTCTGCTCTCCATATTGTTTCAAGTATTCTTTGAAAGGTTGGTTTTGTGGACATGTATTCTTGCTATTCCTGTCATAGAGGACTTTTCTTTCCCCCTCAACTATAATAGACATTTTTGCTGGGTAAAGTATTCTGGGCTGGTGTCTATTGTCATGTAGAACTGGAAATACCTTGGTCCAGGTGCTTCTGGTTTTTATACTTTGCACTGATAAGTCAGCTATAATTCTGATGGGCTTTCCTTTGTACGTGACTTGTTTTTCTTTTGCTGCTTTCAGTATTTTCTTTGTTCTGTACATTTAGTGTTTTTACTATGTTATGTCATGAGAATTTCTTTTTGATACTGTCTATTTGGTGTTATATGTGCTTCCTGTACTTGTACTTTGCTTGAGTGGTCCAGTTCTTCAACTTTATCCTCCAGTGTTGATATTCTGTTTTCCATTTCATTCATTCTAGAGGTGAGGCTTTCCCCTCTTGTTTCAAGTTGGCTTATTGAATTTTGCACTTCCTCTTCATTTCTGCCTGAATTTTCTTCAATGTTTTTATTTCTTTTATGAATTAATTCAGAAGGTTATTCCTATCTTCTTTTATTTCTTTGTTCATGTGTTCTTTAAATTCATTGAATTTCTTGATTGTGTTTATGATTGTCCTTTTAAATTCAGTGTCCTGGGTTATCTCTAGGGGAACTCCTTGTAGAGCTCTTCTACATGATTGGTGGCATTTTGTGAGTATATATATTTTTGGCTTTCCATTTTATTATTCTTTCATTGTGACTTTGGCATGTGAATTTCTTTTAAGAATTAAGTTAAAGTATGCTTCTGTTTGTATTATTGGGGTGCCTCGATCCTTTATTGGTTATGTAAATCTGGTTGGTAGAGGGTTCAGGTTCTCTCAGGTTTGATTTTAAGGGAACTGGTGGCTTCAGATCAGCTATTCAGGAGTACCCAAAGAAGCCCAATTCAGGTTCCAGTCAGGTGCACTCAGGCTTCTTTCACCATGTGAGGAAGGCCAGAGGTAGGCCAGAACTTGGCACTCTCTGGTGGTCTGCTGAGATCAGAGCTGCTACACCAATGAAGATTGAAACCCACCCTCTCAGGCTGTCTGCTAGGATCTCAGCCTTGGCCTACCAAAGCCAGATCTGGAGCCTTGAGAGGGGCTTCATGAAGTCCCAGGTAGGGGGATGGGTAGGGGGATGGGTATGACACAATTAGGGGATGCTCACCACCATGTAAATGCAGGATCTGGGGGCCCTCAGGCAGTCCTTTGTGTTCTCAGCCCCTCTGCCAGCAGGAGGCCAGAGGGAGGCTAGAACTTGGCACTCTCTGGCAGTCTGCTGAGATCAGAGCCACTACACTGATGGAGGTCAGAACCCACCCTCCGCATTGTGTAATGTTTAAATAAAGTTTATATATGTCTTTCCCATTAAATATTTGCCAAATCTTTATGGTGAAAACCTAGGTATAAGAGATATAGCCCCAACTATTGCTTGTGGCCATGAATTCAATGGCAGCTTGGGAAACTTAGTGGGACCCTGTCTAAAAAGTTCCTTTATTCTAGAGTTTTGAAGTATACAGTATATTATTTGTAGTCACCTTACTATACAATAGTACTCTAGAACTTCTTGCTCTTATCTAACTCTACTTTAACAGCACCTTCAAGGAGACTTTTATGGGGGTGTTAATCCTAGGGAATTGCCTGACTAGACCCCAGTAGTTGAACTTTCACTCAGGGACGTCGGAGGATACTAAGTTCACTCAATAGACCTTAACATAAGTGACATAATACATGAAAATTGGGAGGTGGTATATGCGAGGGTGACAGTGGAGAAGGAGTGTAAGATTAAGATGTGTATAAAATCCACAAAAATTCAATAAAAATATACAAAAAATAAAAATAAAATGCAAAAAACATGATGAGGGACTGGGAGCATTTCTGGTTTCCACATACTGTAGCAAGTTAGAAAGAGGACTTCTGTATCAACAAATCTGCTGATGCTGGTACTTCTCTGTTTTCCCACGTCTCCCTCCACTTTACTCTTCTCATCCTTTGGTAACCACCATTCTCTTCTCAACTTTGAGATAGTCTTTTTTAGATTTCACATAAGAATAAAGTCACTCAGTACTTGTCTTTCTGGACCTGGCATTATTTTACTTAACACACAGTGCTACAAATGACAGCTATGTATTCTACTTTATGGTTGAGTGGTATTTTGTTTTGTGTAAGTACCTGTTTTCTTAATGCATTTGTCAGTTAATGGGCTCTTTGCTTCTACTACTTGTCTCTCACCTTACGGGTGTCATTTCCTTTACGCATGTACCACATTTGGGATTGCTGAATCATATGATGTGCTTTTCAGAACTTTGGAGAACCTCCTTTCTGTTCCCCATAGTGGATGTGGTAATTTGCATTCCAGCCAGTGGTGTGCACACATTCCTCCTCTCCCCCATCATGACCTATTGAACTTGGTCCTCCACTGTCTCAAGAAGTGGCATTTTTTTATCTTCCACTTTTTCTAGTTCAAACACTGAAATCAAAACCTTTGACTCCACCACTTTTTGTCAATACTCCATCAGCTCTATTTCACAAATCTGTACAAAACAAATCCACTTCTCACCATGTCTTAACACGACTATCCTGGTCCAAGACCTATGGCTATGACTATCACCACAACGCCAAACAGATTTCTTTAATTCTCCATTCATAATCCCTATTCCTTTACTTTTATTATGGAATAGCATTCCTGGTGTGTCTGTGCCAGTTTGTTTCATAATTTGACCACTGAGGACTTCTGAATTGTTCACAGCTTCTAATATTAATATAACCATTACTTCACCCTTTGCTTAGAGAGAGAAGATGTTCTGTGGGGATTCATTTTTTTGCAATTTTTAGTATTTCCAGATTAAGGTTCCCTTCAGCTCAGGACTGGGATAGTTGGGGCAAAGCAACTGCAGAGAGCTCAGTAGCACTGTACCATAAAATATAAAACTATATACATTTATGGGGTACTGTGTGATGTTGGACACATGTATACATTGTGGTAATGTTTCATACTCTTCATGTGTGCATGTAGGTTTTGTGTGTGCAGTGTACTTGTGTGCAGGTGTGTATACTTGTGCATGTCTATGTGGAATCTAGAAGTCAACACTGGGTGTCTTACACTGTCATGCTCCACCTTACTTTTTGAGACAGGGTCCCTCACTGAATCTAGAGCTTGCTGATTGGCTAGACTGGCTCTTGCTCCACCTCCTAGCACTGAGATCACAGGTGCATGCTGCTGTGCCCAGCCTTTTACATGAATGGTGGGATCTGAACTCAGGTCCTCATGCTTACACAGCAAGCATTTTATCCATTGAGCCATCTCTCTAGCCCCTGTTTTTCAGACTCTTGTGTTTGTTTTGTGTGTCATGTGTGTTGTACCTTTTTTTTTCATCAATTGATCTTTAATGTCCAAAAGATGCGTGGATGCAGAGCATAGATGTGGCAGGGTCTCAGCCCCTGCTCCAGAAATGAGAGATGAACAAAAACTAGACAATTCCAACTGGCCAGAGTCTGGGAGGGCAGGGAATCACAGATCTGGACAGTCAACAGCCCAAGTCCCCATCAGCACTTGAATATGTGAACAAACTATGGTGCATATACATGCAGGAATAGTATTCACCAACAAAAAAGGATGAAACTAAATAAATTAAATGAAATTTTGGTACTTGCTACATTAAGGAACCTTGAAAATATCATGTTTTGGGGAATAAGCCAGTCACAGAACCCACATACAATTCCATCTATATGAAATATTTAGAGTAGGCAACTTAATAAAGATGGAAAGTAGGTGAGAGTCACTAGGGCCTGGAAGGAAATGGAAATGAGCTGCTGAGTTTTGGAAATAGATAGTGATGATGTTATACATTGTGAAGATAATTCAATGCCACTCAATTTTATACTTTAAATTCAGAATGGATAAAAGGCAAATCTAATATATATGTATATATATATA